AAGAGCTTGAATCACTTCAAGACCAGTTACCCCAACCTGCCCTAATTCTCGGTGACTTCAATGCTCATAATCCTTTTTGGGGTAGTAAAAGACGAGATATACGTGGCTCGATGATAGAGCGTTTTCTTTCCTCGACAGCTATATGCTTGCTGAACAAAGCAGAGTTTAATTATTTCGGTGCTCCAATTCATTTTTTTACATCTATTGATCTGTCTCTTTGCGATCCGACATTATTTCCTTTGTTTTCCTGGGCTGTCGATCCTAACCCCTATGGGAGCGATCACTTTCCTATCATTCTGAACCGACTAAACCCACCTGTTACCTGACCCTACGCGAACTCCCCGTTGGAAGTTTGAGGCAGCAAACTGGTCTGTCTTCACCCAGGCAACCCAGCTCGCTAGTACATCGCTTAACAAACTTTTCATAGATGAAGTCACCAATTTGCTCAGCGCCCACATCCTCAATGCTGCAATTTTAGCTATCCCTATGACTTCATCTCGCTTACCCCGTCGTCCTAGACCATGGTGGAGTGCCGACTGTGAAAAATCAAGAAGAAAGCAGAACAGAGCATGGGGCATATTTAGACGTTACCCAACAGTGACTAATCTCATCAGTTTCAAGCGGATGAAGGCTCATGCGAGATACATCCACCACGTCTCAGAGCGTTGAAGTTTCCAAGGTTATGCTTCTCCTATTAACAGAACCGCCACCACCAAGGAAGTATGGGATAAAGTGCATAAAGTCAATGGGCAGTACCGGGCTGTGCTCTCAGGGCACAGTCCGAAAACGGACTGTGCCCTGAGAGCCTAGAACAACAGGCAGATCTCCTTGGGAAACACTTTGAACGTGTTTCTAGCTCTCAGAATTCTTCAGGTGCTTTTCTGAAGCACAAGAGAGAAGCAGAACTTCAATCTGTGCGGACATCCGGCGGAGCTAGAGAAGCTTACAACTTACCTATCACGCTGAATGAACTGGAACCGGCACTTCATGAAACTAAACCTACGTCTGCTGGACCGGATGGGATTCACTACCATATGCTTACTCACCTTCACCCTTCCACACTCGACATATATTTGCATTTGTTTAATCGCATTTGGGAGGAGAGTACATTTCCGTCTTCTTGGAGATGGAGAGTGGCAACCGTCATTCCTTTCCTAAAGCCTGGAAAGGATGCATCGTGTGCATCCAGTTACCGCCCAATAGCGCTAACAAGCTGTCTTAGCAAAACTCTGGAGCAAATTTTTAACAAACGACTGATGTACTTTTTAGAAAATCTTGATAAATATCAGTATGGCTTCCGTTCGTCACAATCTACATTGGACCACTTCGTCCGCTTAGAGTCTACCATCCGTGAGGCCTTCGTAAATAAACAGTACTGCCTCTCTGCCTTCTTCGATTTAGAAAAGGCTTACGACACTGCCTGGCGGCATGGCATCCTACAAGATATGTATAGCTCTGGCATTCGAGGCAGGATGCTAGCATTCGTACAAAGCTATTTGGCGATACGTACGTGTACATTTCGTGTCAAATGAGGCACTACCTACTCTTGAGAGTCCTGCCAGGAAAACGGCGTTTCCCAGGGAGGCGTATTGAGTTGCACCCTTTTAGAGCGCAGCTCTTAGGGGCCCGTTTCCAGCCTGAGCGGCGTCGGCGTCGGCGTAACCGGGGGGGGGGGGGGGGGTCACGTGATCCCTCCGAGGTCACGTGATCCCCCGAGGTCACGTGACCCCCCCCCCCCTCCCCTGAGATCACGTGACCCCCCTCAGTACCCTTCCCTACTCCTCCTCAAGAGCTGCGCTCCAATTCGGCATTACAGAGATTTGTAAACGGCTTTCATTTTTTTATAATAAATATAAACTCAATAGCCCGGGCCATCCCATCATCCGTACAGAATTCACTTTATGTTGACGATCTTCATATATCCGTCTCATCCTGTAACATTGCTTTTTGTGAACGTAGCATCCAATTAGCAGTCAACAATCTGCTCAAGTGGGCTGATCAAAACGGTTTTAGGTTTTCATCAGAAAAAAACAGTTTGTGTTTGTTTTTCTCGCTTACGGGGAGCTACAGACTCATCGGTGACCATGCTCTCCACTCCAATTCCAACAAAACCGGAACAGAGGTTCCTAGGGCTTTTTCCTGTACTTTCTCTCTGATATTAAGTATCTTAAGGTAAAATGCCAAAAAGCACTAAACATATTTAAAGTCCTTTCTCGCACTTCATGGGGCTCTGATAGTCTCTGCCTTCTCCGAATTTACAGTTCGGTGGTTCGCTCACAGCTCGACTATGATAGTTGTGTATATGGATCGGTTAGGCCCTCAGCTCTTCCAATGCTTGACCCCATTCATCACCAGGGATTGCGACTGTCCACAGGTGCATTCCGCACGTCGCCTATCCCCAGCCTTTATGCAGAGACAGATGAATGGTTTCTGGAAAAGCGAAGGTTTGCTTTGGGGTGTATGTATCCCTTAGAACACGTTCATTCACCCTGCATCCTGCACGCGAGGTTGTGGAAGAAACAAGATATAACCTTTGACAACAAGCCCTCTGTAATCCCGCCTTTTAGTATAAGAAATGCAGCCGCAGTACATTCGGTTGGACTGAGCTGTACAATGCCCGTGACCCTCGTACCTCAAGCAATAGCTCCTTGGGAATTCGCGACTCCAGCAAAACTGACGCCACCAAGCGGGAAAACCGGGAACCAGCCGGACCAGGTCGTTCCGCGCCCTTCCGCGTCCCCTGTCGCTTTCGCGGACACGTGTTGTTGGCGCGGTGGCGAACAATTTAATTTGACGAAGGTCCGAAATTTTCTTAAGTTTGCCTGAGTGTTCATTAGTGTGGTGAAGCTTCAGTAGATTGTGTCCTTCCATCACGTGTTTGGAAGCCCGTTTACTCCATAACTCACGGTCGCGCGCTTTTGATTTCTTGGATGGGGAGGAATCACGGAAGAACGTTTCGATTTCTTGTCTGTCTCGAATCACATTCAAAGTGACGGCTGCTTGGTAACTGATAAGTGGTTTATTTATAAGGATCTAGAACAGTGGACTGAGTACGACAGACGAGGCGTTTCACTGGAGGGAACATCAATGTTGCAGTCAAGTGAATGGGAAGGTTCAATAGCTGCTTTTCTTGAGTTTAGTTCTGTTCGGTTGGCTTCAAGTTTGAACCACCCACGCCGCTCGGTGCGTTGGCTATTCACCTTGGCTGCTTTTCGCCGAAAAAGCCTCTGGAACACACCGAAAGAGTTGGGCTAATTTCGCAATTACTTGATTCCGGAAAACCTGCTCGCTGCAAATTATGAATGAGGGAAATTATCTGTTTTCAAAAACTGGGGGACGAGTCTCGCAACGTTAGAAGCTGTCATGGCATTTTGATCTATCGCGCCTCCAATATTTATATTACACCCCCGCCGAAGCCAGCAGCAATATACGTCTACATTGCTCAGGTTGACCGGCCGCAAAAAATGCTCAGTTTCTCCGTTCAGGATTCGAAGTCAAGTTCAATGCAGAGAGGTTCTGCGGAAATTTCCGATGAAGACTTTCTTCAGTTTGTCCGCAATCGTCTCCGTGCTACCGGTTAGAACCATTTGGCTAAGTTTAAGTAGTATCTCTCTGTCTGTCAAATATACTTTTATTCAGCAGTTCACCTAATAGCTAGTCAACTAAGCTCATATTTCAACCCGAAGAATATAATAATATTGGTTTAGTGGGACATGGTAAGTAATATAATACATAACCCGCTCGTCAAAATGACTTCTCGATTACTGCTAAAAGTCTGATTTGAAATATGAGTATCAGCTGCTCAGTGGGGCGCCAGTGGTTTAACATGCTCCTCGGCTCAAGAAGTGCTTGCTTAATTTTCGTAACTTTCCTGCAGCCTGTGTTGTTGAGCGAGCAGACGACTGAAGCTGTTTCTTAAACGCGGATACGCACAAAAGCTCGATTTCACGGACGGATAAGTCGCATGGTCGAGGCATGCGAGTTAGCTGAAAATTACTCTCGGCGGAAAAATGCTGTAGTCATCGCCACTTTCAGGCTTAGATGATCAAAACTGATTAGTACAATACCGTCTTTCCGGGGCCCATAGTTTCGGTCTTGAACGAAACCTCCAAAACAAAAGCACGACACACACACAAAAAAAAAAAAAAACTATGCTTTGCAAGTTTATGTGCACCGGCTACACTTAACCGTCTCAGTTCAAATACCTATTAAATTGGGCATTGAACAAAAGAAAATATGTTAAATTAAATGCGCCACCTGTTCAGGCGGCTCGGCCGAGCCGACGCGACCTGGACTCAGCCGCCAAGTTTGTTTGGTGGTGGCGCCCACTAAAAGTCGCTGGAGTCGCGAATATAGCCTCATTTTGTGTGACTTTTCACTGACTAAGCACAGCAAGAAAGACACCCCGCAAGAATGCATCAAACAGGAATTTTATGAAATTCAAAGTAGATACTCTGGAAACAGCTCGTATTACACAGATGGCACCAAGACTGAAACGTTCGTTGGATGTGCCGTGGTTGGCCCCTCTGTTCGCTATGTGCAACGAATTGCATATACAGCGACTATTTTAACGGCTCAACTCTGTGGTATCCGCCTGGCAGTTAATCATATTATAGTGTAGCAACCGGCTGTTTGGACGAAGGAAGAAGAGGTGGACAAGGGAGAACGAGCTGAGAGGCCGAGCTCAGAATACCGGCAGCTCCCTGCCGGACTGGACGTGTATATAATTTTGTAAATAAAAATAGGTAGGGAACTTTTTTTCCTACAATTGGTGACCCGGACGTGATCCGCAAGCCACCTCCGTCATGGCTACCGATGAGGCAACACCGCTGGACATCACCGTCGTCCGCACGCACAGGCTTCCCCGATTCTGGACAGCGGACCCACAACTTTGGTTCGCGCAAGTGGAGAGCCAATTTACAACCAGCCACATCACCTCGCAAACACAGAGGTTCCACCATGTGGTAGCGGCGTTGCCTCCCGAAACTGCCGTTGATATTCGAGACATCATCCTCGAACCACCAACAACTAACCCGTACGACAATTTGAAGGCTGAGCTCCTCAAACGCACCTCGGCATCCGAGCATCAACGGCTCCAGCAGCTAGTAACATCTGAAGAGCTGGGCGACCGCACAGCATCCCAGCTACTGGGACGTCTTCAACAACTTCTTGGAGAGCGGGCAGCGACATTCGACCCCGCCCTGTTGCGGGAGCTCTTCTTGCAAAGACTCCCTAACAACGTAAGAATGGTTCTTACTTCTGCATCAGGACTCGCGTTAGTTCAGCTCGCCCAGTTGGCGGACACCGTGATGGAAGTCGCTGCACCGCAAGTCGCTGCCCCGCAAGTCGCTCCTATTGCGGCCAGGCAATCACATCTGCTCGGTGCACCGGCAAACATCTCTGCCGCTGAAACAGCGGAGGATTCTTTTCGCACGGATATCCAACAAGCGATCAAGGCCCTCACCGCCCAAGTAGCCTCGCTCACTTCACGTTCACGATCGGAACATCGCCAGCGATCCGCGTCCCGCCCCCGATACAGTTCGCCCTCCCAAACCCGAGCAGTATCAAGACATTCAGATATTTGTTGGTACCATCGGACCTTCGGCGACCGCGCCCGAAACTGCGTCGGTCCATGCTCTGCTTCGGGAAATGCCCGCACCCACCACTAGAGGCGGCGAGTGGTGGGGGTACGCAGCTCAGCCGCTTGTTCTTCATAACAGATCGCGGCTCCGGTTTGCGATTCTTGGTTGACACCGGCGCGGAGGTGAGCGTACTACCAGTTTCTGCCGTTGAAACAAAAGGCAGGCAGACACTTGCCACTCTACAAGCAGCCAATAAGACTCCAATCGCCACTTACGGTGAGCACGCTTTGTCCCTCAACATCGGACTGCGTCGAGTATTCCGCTGGGTTTTTCTCGTCGCGGACGTGTCTTATCCTATTATCGGTGCCGATTTTTTACGACATTTTAACCTACTGGTTGATATGCAACGTAAGCGCCTCGTAGATGCTACTACAAATATTGTTACACACCTCGCGTGTAAGCCTGCACGACCTCCGGACAGGCCTAACTGCTCCAGTCCAACTTCGCCGTACGAAAGTTTGCTACGAGAGTTTGGGTCTATCACTCGCCCTACCAACTTTCAGCGTCCAGTGAAGCACAATGTTGCCCACCACATCGTGACTACTGGGCCACCTACTCATGCTCGACCATGTCGGCTTCCACCAGACCGTTTAAAGATCGCGCGAGATGAATTTGATCACATGCTAGAGCTTGGCATCATTCAACCATCATCAAGTCCATGGGCGTCTCCACTGCACATGGTTCCCAAGAAAAACCCTGGTGACTGGAGACCGTGCGGGGACTATCGTGCTCTGAACAACGCCACAGTCCCCGACAGGTACCCGCTGCCATACATCGCGGATTTCACGACTTCCCTGTATGGCTCAAAGGTTTTCTCTAAAATAGACCTAGTAAAGGCGTACCACCAGATCCCAGTTGAGCCGAGTGACGTCCCCAAGACGGCCATCATCACACCTTTCGGTTTATTTGAATATCCTCGCATGCCTTTTGGGTTACGAAATGCAGCTCAAACATTTCAGCGCTTCGTCGACCATGTCATCCGAGGACTTCCCTTCGTCTATGCCTACGTTGACGACCTGTTAATCTACAGCCATGACGATGAAGAACACATTCAGCATCTTCGACTGCTTTTTCAGCGCCTTGATGAGCACGGCCTCATAATCAACAAGCAAAAATGCGAGTTTGGAGTCACGACGTTGAATTTCTTAGGCCATCAAGTGGATCACACAGGGGTCCGTCCACTTTCCGAAAAAGTCGCAGCCATTAAGGTTTTTCCACAACCGACAACCATTCATAAACTCAGAGAGTTCCTGGGTCTCATAAATTTCTATCGGCGTTTTATTCCCAACTGCGCTTCAACACTCCTGCCGCTCACTAATATGCTCAAAGGCGAACACAAGGACTCAACACCGTTAAACTGGAGCGACTCGGCTTTCCAAGCTTTCAGCCGCATAAAAGGAGATCTCGCTAACGCCACCCTACTCGTTCACCCCTGCCAAGAGCTTCCCGTGAGTGTCATGGTCGACGCCTCCAATATTGCTATTGGCGCTGTCCTGCAGCAGCTCTCCGACAAGAACTGGCAGCCCATCGCGTTCTACTCCCGAAAACTCAGCGCAACAGAGTCACGCTATAGTACATTCGGTAGGGAGCTCCTTGCGATTCATCAAGCCATCAAACACTTCCGGCATTTCCTAGAGGGTCGTCATTTCGTCGTTTTCACCGACCACAAACCCTTAACATACGCACTGAAATCAGGGAGCGACAAATTTACTCCCCGTGAGATCCGTCAAATGTCATACATATCAGAATTCACGACAGACATCCGCCATGTCAAAGGCAAAGACAACCTGGCAGCTGATGCGCTCTCGCGGGTTATCGTCACTCCCTGCTGCAGCATGGTACCCATGACAATTGATTTTGAAGCCATGGCCTCAGCTCAGCGAGATGACACCGAGCTTCAACAAGTTCGTTCATCGCACTGCAGCCTCAATTTGCGCGAGGTAGTCTTGCCAATGTGTGGTACACCACTCATCTGCGACCACACCACAGGCGCACCCCGACCTTTAGTACCGCTGCATTTCCGTCGTCAAGTTTTTGACTCCCTACACTCCATGGCACACCCTGGAGTTCGAGCAACTTAGCGGTTAATCACTGAACGCTCTGTATGGCCGGGTGTCAACAAGGACGTACGAAACTGGACTCGCTCTTGTCTGGCCTGCCAGCGGTCTAAAACTCAACGTCATACGTCAGCACCATACGATGCTTTCCCAACACCGACAGCGCGCTTCGATGCCGTACACCTAGACATTGTGGGTCCTCTTCCAACATCTGGTGGAAACACATATATACTGACATGCATTGATCGCTTCACGCGCTGGCCTGAAGCATTTCCCATTCCTAATATCACCGTCGAAACCACGGCACGGACATTCGTCGAAGGTTGGATTGCTCGATTTGGTGTGCCTTCATCGGTTACCACCGACCGAGGGAGACAGTTCGAGTCCGCTTTATTCCGAGAGCTCATGAGACTACTAGGGTGCTCACGTATTCGGACGCGCTTCCATTGCACGCTCAAGGCTTCTCTAATAGCACACGATGACCGTGTTCATTGGAGCGTCCACCTCCCATTGGTGCTTTTGGGACTCCGGACCGCTTTCAAAGAACATATCGGTTGTAGTGCTGCCCAGCTCGTATACGGCGCACCCCTTCGCCTTCCAGGGGAATTGATCATCCCGGCTGATCACGGCACCAATAGCGATCCCACCAGCTACGCCACGCAACTCACGACGGCTATGCGGGCCCTCCGCGCGACCCCTCCTCGTCCACAACAGCGTAAATCGACATACGTTTCAACTGAGCTCGCCCACTGCACTCACGTATTCGTCCGCCACGATGCAAGTCGCCAATCTCTACAACATCCGTACGACGGCCCATTCAGAGTAATTGATCGTCGGGACAAATATTTTCTTCTTGATCTAAAGGGACGAAAAGACACCGTGTCAATCGATCGCCTCAAGCCAGCTTACCCTGACACTCCTGTTGCTTCTACACCTCCAACCACCTCACTTGAATCAAGGACATGCACACCGGGAATTTCGAAGGACATACACCAACACTTATCCCTACTACTACCGCGAATTGTGGGGGGATCGGTGGCCGAGTGGTCTAGCGCACACCAGCTCGGAGCACGTGGAGCGAAAGCTCGCGCTGCAGAACCCAGGGATCCTGGGTTCGAGCCCCACCCCTGCCCGTTTCGATCTGGATGAGCATCGTACCGGCGTGCGGTCGTGTATCACTACTGCGTGATGCACGTTAAAGACCCCAGGCTAGCGGCTGTACCGCACTGGCTAAATTTCTCATCTACAGCTGGGAGACTCGTCGCCCCTGTGAGGCAGACCAAGTTCTAGGCTGTATAAACACACACACAACCCAATTACCGCGAATTGTTTCCGGTAACAAGCCACAGAGGCATCCTGACCAGCCAAACGCCATGTCACGTGGGCACCTCTACCACCACAACTCGGCGTTTTCCAACGACCTCCTTGTTGGAGGGGCAGTACCTGTAGCAACCGGCTGTTCGGACGAAGGAAGAAGAGGTGGACAAGGGAGAACGAGCTGAGAGGCCGAGCTCAGAATACCGGCAGCTCCCGGCCGGACTGGACGTGTATATAATTTTGTAAATAAAAATAGGTAGGGAACTTCTTTCCCTACAATAGAAACGAGGAGCATGAAGTCAGTTGTGTATACTGATTCACTTAGTTCACTGAGAGCCCTCTCATCACCAAACACCTCTAAACACCCAATAATCAGAGTTGCAGAATAAAATCATTGATGCTTCCAAAAGGAATATTGAAATAGTTTTTTGCTGGGTCCCTAGCCATGTTGGCATACCGGGTGTTGAATATTAGAAGAAGAGGAGAGCCCGGCTACAGCGCGGGCTCGCGAGCCGGCGCACCGGCGATCGAGTTCTTCTTGTAGATAAAATGGACGCAAACGCTACGGAGCGGTTCTAGTCCTTTCTTTAACATCTGGCGCCGAAACCCGGAAAGGCTTTGAAGGACCGCTCCGGCCTTACCACGAACACCGACGTTCATGGACCGCATGAAGAGGACACGCGCCGTCGTCCGTTCAGCCGTTACCCGTACCCTGAACATGATCACCGATCTACTACGAGGCCCTGATCCCGACTCCACCGACCTGCAAGTACACCTTGTGATATCTTGCGTTGTACACATGAGGGCGCCACCGCGGTGGTAAATAAACAGACGACGAAGACGATGCCTGACTGGGCCAGTCAGTGCGGTCTACGTCCTCGATTTGGAATATTGTCCCTGACCTTGACTCCGGCAGCGTGCCTGGCGTGGATTATCACAACTGGCGACGAGCGATAAAGAACGGTCGCGCACGTCTTACCTCAGCAGCCATGCCTGTCATCGGGAAGGTGGAACCGTTCGACTCGGCTACGTCGGATTGGACCGAGTATCGCGAACGGGTAGGTTTGTACTTCACCGTGAACGACATCGCTGCAAGGAAGAGGACTGCCGTGTTTCTGACGTGCTGCGGGTCGGAAACTTATTCGCTGCTGCGGAGCCTGGGAAGCTATGTTGCACGTTTTGGACTCCCAGGAGACTAGGGAGAACGAAGTAACGTCAACAACGCTCTTTGGATGTTGATTGGTGGAGTCGCTGATGACGCGTTGCGTGGTGCTGCTAAGATACGTTCATTCACACCTACGTCACTTCCTTCTCCCTAGTCTCCTGGGAGTCCAAAACGTGGAGCATAGCCCCCCAGCTCGCCCCTACGAAGCCTGCCGATGCAACATTGGCTGCGATTTTCGAAGCTTTGAACAAGCACTACTCGCCGAGGGTATCGGAAGCAGTGGCCAGCTTAAAGTTTTTTTCTCGGCATCGGCGGGACGAAGAGCCTGTAAACGATTACATCGCATCGCTGAAGAAGCTTGCCGAAGACTGCAAGTTCGCATCGTATCGGGAGCGCATGCTACGGGACCAAATCGTGAGCGGAATCAACGACGTCGCAATGCAGACTAGCCTGCTGTAAACGGCCGAGTTGGACTTTGAGACCGCGAGGAACACCGTAATCGCCATAGAGGCTGCGAAGAAAGATTTCCGAGCGTTACGTTCTCAGCTGGCTCAAGCGACACCTGTGCAGGCCGGGGAGTCTGTGAATGTTGTTAAGA